ACCACCACCACCACCACCACGGAAGAGCCACCACCACCACCACCACCACCACCACCACCACCACGGAAGCCACCACCATGACTACTGCGACTGCTACTGCTGCTAGCACGGTGCTACTGTTGTTGCAGTACAGCTGCTACAAAATCAACATCAATCTCAACACGCTCTGCCAGCCAACCTGCCAACCATCACACTATCATCGTCTTTGCCATCGCCATCGCCGTCATCATTGCTGTCATCGTCATCATGATCAGTATCCACCATCACACCAGCATCATCATCTTCTAGCTTTCCGGGCTTTCCGCAATTTGGCACGTGCCTTGACCGGCTCGAGGTTCAAGAGGTCTGGCTGCTGAGGCAGCGGCTCCTTACTTGCGCACTACGGGACCCTGCTGGATGGGCGATAGAGGGACTGGGCACGGGTTGTGCAAAGGAGTGAAAAGTGTTGGCGCCGATCGTTTGGGGTGTTGGGGTGACGATGTGTGATGGAGAAGCCAGAATTGCTAACAATGTGCTCACGATATGGTTCCCACAGTCTTCCTGAAAACAACATGATGCTGCCGAAGCGGACGACTCCAGCTTTGCGACTCTCTTGCGGGGATTCACACTTTCGAGGTTTGCAGCGTACGGTGTGAGGGCCTTGCGTTGCGGATGGCCCAGTGCAGTTGAGGTTTGTTGGGTGTTGCGCTAAAGTCAGGCGTAGTTGGCAGCATCACGCAAATCCTTAAGGATATCTTCAGAAACTAGTATTAAAATGTGAAATACAGCCAATGAAATCAAACTGGCAGTATCACCACTTCCCGCAAAGGCAACCGCCAGAAGAAGAGCTGCGGAATCCTGAAAAACATATGGCTGAGGCAAGAAGGCGAGGAAACCCGGAACCTGAAACCCCAAGCAAACCCAACTCCTCCTGTCACTTAAAGTCTGCAACCCTTACCCCACCTCCTCCTGCTCATCATCATCAGGATGGCCATCCAACAGCGAGAGCTCCTCTGCCGTGAAGATGAACCGCAGGAACTGGCCAGAGAGTGGCACATAGTTTGCACACTACCCTTATCGTATAGTGATCATCATTAAACAAAATCCGTGTCGAAGAGCATAGTATAACTCCAACTCAGATGTCGCGGGACACTGGGTGGGGTCATTACCCAAGGCACAGCCACGATGATCACAGTGCTAGCAGCACTACTGATTACACCAACAACACGTGAGCGTTGCAGGAATGGAATATGTAGCTTGACGTCTGGGTTGTTTCGGGCTCAGGTCTGTAGGAACCATCTTCGGCGAGTTAGGGTTTGATGGTTGACTTCGAAGCTTAGATTTTCATGTTTCGTGGGCTAGACGTTCCGAAAAGTGAGTTCTCCAGGCTGGAACATAGGTACGCATGGAAGGGCCAGTCCAAGCCGCAAGTCGTCGGAATGCATGACGTGCGTAAGTTTGTTTGGAACTACGAATTGGAACAGGTTCGCAATAAAACTGAAACTTGGGATCGTGATGCTCAAGCGAAATCCCGGGACAGGGAGCTGCGCATAATGGGTCTGTGCTAGGTTGACCAGAAAAGATAGTGGATGGAGCAATCTTGCACCAACTTTACCCCAAAAAAAATCCACAGAGGCCGCAGGCCGTGGGCGTTGCGGGCAAAGTCTCCACCCACTTCTCTCCCGACTCCCTCAGGCCGCGGAGTCAACACTGACCTGCTATTCTGCATGTGGTGAGGGGACTTCCAATCCTAGGGCCGGGCTGCCAGAAACTGGCCACTCTAAAGGACATCCACTTTGGGGGGTCTGCGGGTAAGCAGGTGTGTAGTGATGTACTGGAGGGTGTGACAGGTGATTCTTCGCGAGTTTTTGGCGCCGCGATGCGTCAACAGTTGAGGTCGTCTCGGTATGCTTCCTGCAGAGTCATGAGCTTCGCTGTGTGATCCCTCAAGACTCTTGCGCGTCACAATGTGATCCCTTACGACTCTTGGTCGTCACGGTGTGATGCCTCACGACTGTTCGTACTTACAGTCTGCTATCCGTCAGAACTTTTGTTTTCTCCCTCAAGACTTTTTGGCGTCACGGTGTGATCCCTTGAGAGTTCTGGGCATCAGTGTGTGATTCCTTCAGTGGAGATCTCAACAAGAAGACTAGGTAGCATCTGCTTTCCAGACGAGGCAGGCCCGACCGATTTCAAGCAACGCCTCCTGGATCATGTCTTGACCCTGGTCACAGCCTCGCAAACGAATCAAGCAAAAAAATGCCCTTGGAGGTACCCTGAACATAGTATCCCCAAATTTCCCAAAACAGCACTGCCAGTGTTTTGGCCAGGCTTTTCAGGTTCCTGATACCACTACTGAGCCTCCCTCAGCTACTGCATACTGCTACTACTGCTGCTGGTATTACTCGTTCTCACTCCTGCAAAAAAGCAATTCTAAGAACAACTGCTTCTGCTGCTACTGCTGCAGCTGCTGCTCCGGCTCCGGCTACTCATGCAATTGCCAACAACAACGAAAGCTCGTGCACCTTGCGGATGACGGCCAGGGAGGCCATGAAGAAGGGGAATACCACGGCCGTTTCCTTGTGCGAGGACATTTGAAACTTTTGCATGCAAGGTGTATGAAGAGGCTGGATTCGGATATGTTTTTGATTGGGTTTCACATGGGTCCTCACACGGTTTAACTTCGGGTTGTCTTGGGCGCAACGCTCAGGAGGCAAAAGTCTGTGGATTGCAAGGGCTTGTGGTTCAGGTTCGAGGATTTCGGATGCGGAGGGAAGATTCGGATTTAGGGTCAGCAGAACTTCAATGAAAGGACACCTAGGCTCTGGGGCAGAGTTGGTGGGAGAAGTTGGAGTTTACAGTTTTGATTCCGCTCCTATGGAGATGCTCACGCCTATACGTCTATAGGGCTTGGACCGCCTCTATACCCTAAGCCCAGCAAGGTGCCATAATGTTGAGACCCTTCTCTGAATCCTCTTCTTGGCATAATCACCACGACCACATCCTACGTAGGCCCCACAGGACCCCGCCAATCCATGCAAGCTCTTCGAGGTGCAAGCACCTTCCATCTGCAGAATCCCGTAGTTTATGTGCCAAAGTCTAAGTTATCCGGGCCCTTTTTGCGATCTACGTAAACTAAAACTCCCCTGCTAATGTTGGACCAAGCTGATGGCCACTAACAAAACACGACAATTCAACGTGGTATCACTTGATGGCAGCAATCTTGTAGTGACCGCTTTAGTGGCATACAAACTTCGAAATAGTGCAGCGTGACTCAAAAATCACACAACTGTATCCTGCACCATCCACAACGCAAAATTGAGGCCGTACAAAGCATCGAAATCATGACCCGAACATCCAAGAGGATTTCGGCAACCCTAACACCAAAAACAAGGCCCCAATAACTATCAAATGACTATGATATGATCCTGCGTTTGGGGTTGGGGTTACAAAATTCTTTGTAAATGCAAGTTCCCTCACACCAACACCTAGCGAAAGCAGTCCTTCAGGGCAGTGATTATTCGTGCTCTTAATGTGCCATCCATGAACCATTGAACCCTCAAGACCATGTCTAACCAAAATGCCGTCCAGACCCATGACAGCTTACTATCCACCCAACCCCCATCATGCGGATCAAGGAGCCCAGACGGCAAACTGTAAACTGAAAGCTCTTTGGGGATTTGATGACTTCCCACAATTTGTTCTGGCAGTGCGTCTGAACAATAAGGGCCATGCTATCCTGGCGGTATACACACCCATGTCTTGAGAAACACCCTAAACCTAAGTGGAAAACCTGCAAATCCTGTCGACAGCCAGTATAGTCACTTTTCAACCAACCTTTTTGAGATGTACCCACTGAGAGCCCTAAACCCTGTCCTTGATCTCTTTCAGTCCATAGAGGATGGCAAGGCAAATGAACTGCAAATCAGTAATCAGCAGGGTTTGGGTACACCGAAAACGCCTTAGGGTGTAAGGTTTTGGGTTCAAAGTCGAATGGATTTTTTTTGGTGGTCACTGCGCCTGCATACTGCGAGCAATGAGCTTCTGTGCAAGACAGGCTTCCCATAGTAGCGTTCAGTACAACTTCTCTGTATTGGTCATCCATGTGTCTGGGGATCAGGAGAGCCGTGAATGCTGACAATCAGCCATAACTCCCGTGTTTGCCGCATGTACCTTTTCTTGAACTCCTGAACCCTACTATCTCAGTGATATCCACACAGCCTTTAGGTCATGCTTATTGTCTGAAAGTCAATACGCCCCCGAAGCATGGGGCCCACGATGTGGGGATGTGGGGAGAAAAGGCTTTAGGCTGCAGTGCTTTAGGGTGTGCAGGTCTGAGAGTTAGATGGGCCTCGGATTTGGAGTTTATGGGGTCGCGCTTAGGGTTAGTGGAACACGGCTGTTTCCTCAGAATTTATTCCATAACTCGCCTGGATGAAGGTGTAAAGGTGGACTCGCGCAATGGGCAGCTTCTGGACGTAGTGGTACCTTGTGTTTGTATGCTTAGGGTTGGGTTAGACAAACTAGTGACTAGTGCTCAGGCCCAAAGAAGCAAAAGTCTTACTGAGCAGATGCATCATGCTTCACTACTCTCATATTCTTGCAAAGTATGCCCTAGTCTTGCTGCATGCTGTGCACAATTGCGATAGAAACGCTATGAAACGCTACACTGCACTGATGCGACAAACCAAAACGGGGGAAGAAATACTAAACTCTTATGCTTCGATCGGAGGCGCTGCGGGTACTTCGACGAATCCCAGATCAGCCACAAGAACCTGAGGACATGCTTGTGGACTGCGGGTTTGGATATAAGGCTTGGGAGTTGGTATCGACTACTTTACCATGGCAGTACCCAAAGATCTTCGGCTCTGTGTCGGGTTGGGGCCCCGCTTGGTCCTTTGGAAGGAACACCAGTGGCAAAAGGAAATATGCAGGGATTACAGCCACCTGTAGATGGCGACAGGCTTCATGTTGAGAAGCTTCCAGAACATCCGCAAGCTGAAGGTCGCATGGCTGAGAAGGTTCAGCCCTAGTCTAACCTTGTCTACGGGGGATTTTGCAAGAGGTTGGCTGGAAGTCAACGAGGAAGTGGCTGCACAGGGACTAGATGCATGCATAACTGCCCGAAAACTCCTGGAATCCAGAAATGACCGTTCTATCAGGCAGGTTGAGCAAAGCAGGGTTTCCAACATCGTCCATCCAATAACAGTTGGGAGCTATTGCCTGGGGATCGCCTGAAGTCTAACCCGACTACTCCTCTTGACGAAGAACCCATGTTGTCAATTTGGCAGTAAATGAAAAGGTAAAGTTCTCCTAGGCAATTATCTTGTGTGCAGGAGTAGGCGCATGCGGTCGAACAGGGAATTTCCTGTCAATGACGCGATGCCCATGTAGAAGAAGACCTGAGGTTTCAAGGGCTGGAAACGGGGCTCAAAATCTAAGTCATTGTAATGGGGTGGAGTCACCCACTATGAAAAACCCTCAACAAGCTTGAGAACTTGCGTTCAAAGTGCAGATTCCCTGGAATCTCGTGCCTAAAAAAACTCTGTGCAGTGACCCTTCAAAAAAGGGATCTTTCAAGGCATCGGTAAAACCTAAACGATTAAACGACCCTGAAATCCCTGAAACAAAATCCCAGCTCAGTAAACCTAGACACGAGATCTTAAAACCTAGACTTCGAATCCTAAACCGATCCCCTACATCCCCCACCCTTTGCAAGATCGAGCCACACCCTGCAGCACAGCTTGAGGCAGGAATTTCCTTACCACAAAATGATTCACATAATGTGGTGCTTCCAGTTTGGGGATAGGGTTTTTGTCTGATCGAAGGCTCTGACTTCAAGGCTTCTTGAGGCATCTCCATGAAAAAACGAACATCCCAAGGGATGGCATGTTTGTTGTTCGGCAGGTCCGGTATTTCTGCAGTTGCCAAAATGCACAGAAGACTTTCATTTCGGGGTAGACAGCAGACCCGGTGTCCGTTTTGTAGGTTACAACTCAACTTGGGCTGAATATTGCTCCACATTTACCAAGCCATGAATCTTCATGTAATGGATCATGGCTCGGGCTGTAAGCGGTGGTTTCAAGGGCTTAGGCTTTAGGAGTTCCAAGCGCTAGTTGGGGATTTCACATTTCGAGGGTTAGCGAGTAAAGGCTAATATTTGGCAGTTGGTTACTTAGACATTGAGACGAATTTCATCGCTTGAGCTTGAGGGTTGAGGGTTCAGGCGGTCTCGAAGTGGGTCCGGGCTTGGGCTGAAGGGCGCGAGTAGGGGTTCTCTTGGCTCTGGACTCTGCATCGGGTCATTGCGCAGGATTTTGGGGTTTCTGGCTGTTCGGGCTGGCGGTACAGGATTGCGTCCAGCGGTTTCAGCAGCTCCGTCCATCAGACAAAGCTGAAAGCATTGTTGCTCAGCTGAAGTCCAGTACAAACATGTACAAATGCACAAAGGCAGCCAAACAAGTTGCCCTTGACGGATTCCAGAACTTCAAACGTCTCAAGAATTGGTGTGCTGCTTGATTTTCTCCAGGCCCCCTGCCCCAAATGCAAAACAACGATCCATGAGATACGATTTACTGGTTCGGGTCTCGAGGCCTTGATTCACACTCACCTCCTCAACTCTACATGTAGGTTCAGAATCCCAACCACTCAAAAGCCTCAACCCGAAGCTTCGCCATATGCCATGCCGACCTCTGATCTGCACCCTAACAAAGACCTAAGCCCTGCTTTCCACGTCCACTACATCGCGTTCCACACCTGCAACCTTCCTCCTGATCGACGAGATTCAGAGCTGGAGCCATGAACAGAGCACAGCCAATGAGCACGTGGATCCTCAGCGGGAGAAAGTTTTAGCACGCAGTGCGAAAAGATTTGGAATATGGATAAGCTTGGGCGTTCAGGGTTACGAGTTCCGCGGTCGAATCCTGACTGGCATGCGCAACTTCAAAATGTTGATGGCATCGGGAGGTAGGGGCTTGAGGAAGAGGATGTAGCATTCGTGGTCAGGATTTTGGCTTGTGATTGTAGAAGTTTAGAAACGTCAAACTTGGGGATGTGAGCCAGAAGGGTGCCACGGATAAAAGGAAATCCTAGGTCAAATCATAACAGCACCTTGGGGGGGCCGGGCTAGCATTAGCAAAGTTGGAGAACCACCTCATTGAGGACTACGCATGGGCCAGCCATGGGCTAATTTGGGGCTGGCTGCTCAGCGCTTATCCAATCCTTGTCAAGCAAGCTGAAGCCCGTCCCAGAACACCAACCAGCAGGGCGATATATGAAATTCATACAGCAGGAAAGCCATAACGACAAACATAGATTTCTCACAGGCAATGCTAATAGCAATGATGTGTATAATAAACATCGGTAGGTTCGCTGAAGAGCGCCGAGTCGGACAAGGTGCAAGAAGTTTGTCGCTCGCTGTTCGACAACCTCTCCCGTTTCACGCTGAGTCTCAAGCTTGAGTCTTCCTTCCTGAACCCCGAACTCTAGATCCTGAGACCTACACCCCAAGCTCCAACCCTAAATTCAAAAGCTCAAACGACAAATTGTAGCACAAAATGTTGACTGAACCCACTACAAACCCACAATATGCTTACAACAAAAACATGTTTATTCAGAACTTCACTGCGAGATGGATTGCGGGAGCAGTAAGATACAACAAAGTTGAGCGGTTTAGGGTTGTGAAGTGAGGCTCTGGGTTCTGTATCGAGCTGCTACCTCTTGCCGAACGAAAAACTGTTCAGCGCTAAAATGGAGAGCTATGGTCAAGAATCACAACTTGACGTCGGAACAACTACTGAACCTTTCAGGAGTGCGCACTCCTGGGGCGCGGATGGCCAGAACGCACAAGCCAACATGCTTTTCATGCACAAAGCGTGCCCGGGCGACCCTCGCAACGCACGCCTCATGATGTGATGCGCATGAAATGGGTTCATGCGCAACAAACCCATGCCAAAGGAGTCCAGCAGAAGGAAAACGCGGTGATGCGTGTCCAGCCCCTGGGACAAACGCTGATGATGCAGAAATGGGCCTGAAATTCAGCTCACCCTGACCCACTCACGCACCCCCTCTCTGCTCCCAAAGGCATTCCCGAAGACTGGGTTGCAAATAAGGAACTTTGTAAAGTTACTGACTTGAAAACCTTCAAAAGTCGCCATTCCCTCTGATTGCCCCGAACACTAGGACTCTTTCTAGGGATTCCCAAAACGGGATCCTAAGCAAAGGCACGATGTCCAAGGGCTCTTGCTGCTACCCTAACCCCAAGACGCGTGCTCAGAGACCACCCACGTTGAGTGTTCTTAGATTACGGGTTACAGTCTTAGGCTAATTAATGTCGCTCCTTGAGATTGGGAGATAATACAGATAGCATCCAGAATACTCTCGGCAATTGTACGGGTCCTTCTATACTCTATAGCCTAGTCCACCTGTACACATTCTCTCGCATGACGACCGCCAAAAATGCATCGAGAATTAAGAACCCCCTCAAACCCCTACAAGAAGCCACCATTCCAACAGGCCACACACAATCTTGACAAGCAAGCTCACAACCCAAAACCTTCAAACCTCATTCCCAGCGGAAACAAGGTTACGGCATCCTGAGAAAGCCCGTAAATCTCAGGCCTTCACAGGCACCTTACGCTCACCTTGCGGGAGTTGCTTCACCTCCACGGCAGGCTTTAAAAGTCATTCAGGATAAGGTTGCAGGAGTCAGGCTTGAGGATGTAAGGTTTGGCCTGCAATGGTTGGGATTATGCAAGAGCCTCAGGATGTTGGATCAAGGCAAATTGGGTGAACGATAGCTAGTCAAAGTAGGGCATGCTGTCGGGAGCCACAAGATGTCTTGTTGCCCAGAGCTGTTAAGGCCTCAGGCTTCCGACGTATGTGCTTAGGGAGAGGTGTCCATTTCCATGGGTCAGCGATTGGCTTGAGCTCCCTTTGAGTCGGGCGATCTCAAGCAAGAATCCAGCTCCAAGAAGTACTTACTTTTGCCATTCGTATCGCCGGCTCCCCACAAGTGCAACCTAGCTTGACAAGCTCCCATGGTATGTTTCTTGTTGGTGCAGGTTGGACAAACACCCTTTGCAGTTGCTGCTTACACAAAGCTGCGAGATCATATTGTTGGTTTTCCACCATCGTCCTTCGGCTTCTGCGGGCTGCTTTGGGCTACCTCCTCTCAAACTTCAGTTCTACAAGACAAAGGTCCTAAACCTTGTATCTAAGGCACTCCCAACCTGTAACAGCCAGGGAGGAGGGGTGTGAAGGGTGAAGATGTGCACAACCATTTTGAGATCAATGCATCTAGTTGAGCCATGGGCCTGGTTGCTTGTGCAGGCTGCACCAGGAATAGTCAGAACTGTCGAGTACAAGGGGTAGCAGATACTGTACCGGGATTGTAATGAAGTCATTAGACACTGGGCATCTCACATCCTTCTTATCTACTCAAAATTGGTTAAACACTCCAACCCTTGAGAAAATGTGACCACCTATTTATACCTTACCCCCCCCCCCGATGATGCGCCTCGTAGGTCGTCAGCGAGATAACGTGAGTGATGCTGGGCACCGTTGATGCCACAGCCAACGGCAGTCCAAGCCTGCGGGATGCGAGCTCAACAGCTGGATCGACAGTTTTCTTGTCTCAAAGAATCAGCGGCAACAATCGCAGCAGAAAGAATAGAAGCCTCAGCAGGACCAGAAGCGGTAGGCGGTACTGTAGTTGCATTGACGCAGCAACAGCATCAGGAGGCGTCGTGGCGCTGTTTTAAGAGCCGTTGCAATCGTAGCGACGCTGTGTGGCCTAATTAACCCCAGCAACGGATCTCAACAAGTAACCCTAAAGGCAACCTTACCCCATGTCGTCCTTTCATCCGAAGCCCTTGAAGCCAGGGTCCTCAAACATCGACCCTGAAGTTATACCGAGATCCCAGATGAACGACAGGTACACCAGCGGAATACCCCGACAAACGCAACGTCCATCATAACTAGAGGAACAGCAATGGCATCGGTACAGAGAATACAAACCCAAAACCTGGGTAACTCTTAGAAGCCATGTACCCTCCCACAGCCCCGAAACCCAGAGAAATGACCGTAGCTTTGGGACGTCCACGTCTTTCAGATCCAGCCATTTGCCCGAGCGGCACAGCGCAGGCCGGCAGTGTGAGAGCGCCTCTGATGAAGAGATCCAAGTGGTAGCCAGGACCCTTCTGCCTTTGTGAGCTTGGGTTTCACAATTAAGGGTTTACAGCCCAAATTACACATCGCAAGGTTACTGGGGCAGGAAGGAGAGCTAGTCTTCATCTTTCTGGATGCATCGGGATTCAGGATTGGGGTTTGAGCTTTGGGTTTGGAGGCCTCCTGGTTAGTTTGGAAGCTGCTGTTACACGGGTGTTCGAGGGAGGAGTTTCCACAGTTTCCGAATCCCTCCCGAAGGGCTTTGCACCTAGTATCCGCAGAAGCAACACCACAAGTACTGAAGCACTACTCGTGCGTCCTGCAACTGCGCTTCGCACAGGGCTCACAGCCATATCCCAAAACGCAACCACCCCCCCTCCCCCCCAACACTCTGGGCGCCAACAGTCTGTTCTCCCTTGGATGAAGCCTCCTTCGCTCCTACGGGCCTGCTCACACAACTACCAACATCGGGTGTGAAGGGATGATGCTCAGCACTGAAGCATGGGAAGCCAAGGGACAGGTTGTTTGATGGCCGGTTCACGATCACGCTGGTGAGGTTCCTCACATGAGCGGTGCTTTCTTTAATTGTGGATATCCATGATTGAAATTGTGAAATTGAGTCCGGCACCATATTAGACATACGAAATGTAATGCTCATGGTCCCGGAAGGAGCCCATGCTTCACAGAAGCCAGATAGGCTTGCTGCAGCCTGACAGAGGACGTGTGCCTTCTTCTTACCATGGAAGGCATGCGGCATGTTAGCTCGGTCGGTCTCAGCCACAGTCGATATCACGTCAACGGACGTAATCTGATTTGGGACTATTGTACAGGAATATGCTCTTAGAAAACGTACAGTAGCACTCTTAGAATGCGTAGCACGGTAGCTCATATGAAGCTCTACTTGCTTTGCATCAGAAATTGACCCATCATCAACATTTAAAAGGAAATTACCACACCACCGCCCTTGCGAGGATTTGCACATGTCATCTTGCTAACGTGAAGATCAACAGATAATGTAATCGTCCCACATCAAAAATCCTGAAATCGCGGAATCTGCAGAACCGCCTGAGCCTCACCAATTGTTGCATTGGCTGGGGCCATCACACACAGTGTTCACCCTCACTGCGTCCTGCGAACAGGCACCCTGCTGGAGCGGGTCTGGGCTCCCAGCCCTGAGCCTAGTCCCCCTTAAGTAGATAGAATATGGCTTTGGGTATATTATAATAAGATTCCCATAAAACCCATATTCTACCTACTCAAGATCGACTATAACCTGAGATTGGAAGAAGAATCACAGACCGTCTATGAGTCGTTCAAACCTGAATCTACCCTGGCGCTTACAAGAATCAGCCCCGGAACCCCTTCACCATTGCTCTGGCTAAGATGCTACACCGCAAGGGAAGCCTTTGGTGAGAAGGGGGGACTCAAGCTTCTGCAGAGCTTATTACCCAAAGCGTTTGATACTCTGGGCACTCTCGAGGCTCTGCTTGGAACTGCCTTCATAGAAGAACACGACAAACTTGCAAATCCTGATGAGAGGTCATGTCTGTATTGCCCCGACCCATCCAGAACCCCTAAAAAAAATTCAGCCCGAACCCTTGACCACTCTCAAAAAGCCCTAGGCTCCAAAGGGCCCATGCAGCCAAAAGTGCGAGTGATGGGATCAAAAGAAGGGAACCCTCACTTATTCCCAAATTTACCCTTTATGCCTCATGCTAGCCAGGCTCTGATCCAGATAGCCCAGCACAGCGAAGCCGATGGCTGGGAGGATCGCATACGGGATGCCCCACATTCTGAGATGGGGGCTTCTCAAAAGGGAAATGTTTAGGGTCTGGGCGGGACTCTTGGGTTTTTTAGGTATCATGTGGGTTATCGGGATTACTTGGGAAATTCCCAGGTGCTAGGGACTGTAATTTGAGGGCATGGGACTGGAGTTGATAAGATTCTGGATTGGAGTGCAGCTTCCTCGTCTATTCTAGGCTTACCTGGATGGTCATGAGGATTGTTTAGGGGGAGCATGCTGGCTTGATTCCACCGGTTTAGAGATTAGGGGCTCCCTTTACTAAGGATTAAACGACGGAACCCAATCCCAATCTCCCATGAATCCACAAACCCTGAACTCTAAAATCCCTGTAAACCTTCAACACAGGTACATACAAACCCTTAGCCAGACAAGCGGCGGGAAGTCCTTCTCGATGCCCATGGGGTTCACCACCCAGCTGCGCTTGCCGCCGCCAGCCAGCACCCTCAGGCTTTGGGAGGCTGGGGGTGGTTTTGGACTTGGGGTTCAAGGTTTGGGACAGGATTCATGGAGTTTGGGGCTTAAGGTTGGCAAAGTGTAAGTCAGGGCTTGAAAGGGATTGAAGGATTGAGTTCATAGCGTTGGTCTATTTTGTCGATGATTTGTAAAATTTGAGGCTTCCGAGACGTGTGGTCCTAGCGAATCAGTGTTGCGACTTATGACTCGTGACTAACAATGCCCAAGCTCAAGGCTTCAAAGTTTGTAAGGCCTGTTGTAGGGCCTCTGACTGAGAGGGATCATTTCCCATTATTCTCGAATCAAAAACCCCCATGCCACATGCTTGCCCAGGGCCCATATACAAATTCTGCAAGGATTGGGATTGTCCACGCAGCCCGGTATTGGAGGTTGCACGGATTTTCCTCAAGTGAGGAAGGCGCCCTTAGCAAAAACTCCAAAGTGAGGACCACAATTATAGAAATCCAAGAAGTGGGAAACCTCAATATTGGGGAGGAACTTGCGCAAAGCCGCACCCCATCAACCGCAAGAACAACCAACATCCTGAACACTTTGCAATACGGTTTATGATTTACTCTTTAGGGTTTGAGGCTTTAAATCCGAAATCATCAAGCCTAATAACGGGGCTTTAAGAGCAGGTTAGGTTTGAGGACTTTGGGACTCTTTTGGGACGGCCTTGGACTTTGAGGAACTCAGGTCTCCGGTAGACATACGTCCCACGTCGCCTACGACCTGTCTGCAGGAGAAACTGTAACTCAAGGATTGGACCCGCAACACGACACCAACAACTGTTTGGGAGATGAATCACCACAAATTCCGCTCTCCTATACCACCGGACCGAATGTCCGTAATCTATCAATAGGCAAAATCCTACATGTTCGGCATCTATGCCATACTTGGGGGATCTAAAACCCCAAATAGTAGCTTCCATTTTCTTTTCCATTATCCCAATATATCCCCTGTATATACCCTATTATAATATAGTAGTTTCCATTTTCTTTTCCATTATCCCAATATGTAGTTTCCATTTTCTTTTCCATTACCCCTAAACCCTATATGCCATACTTGGGGGATCTAGTCTTCAGCTTTGAGCTGAAGTGACAGCGAGGGCGAGAGCTCCGCATCGACGGTAAGCATACGAAGGTTCGTGTCGCTGGCGTAGATAGCCTGGCAACGAATATACATAGTGCCCCTTAAGTAGATAGAATATGGCTTTGGGTACATTATAATAAGATTCCCATAGACCTCATGTTCTATCTACTTAATGGGGACTATAGTCTTTTGTTCAGTTCCAGGGGCTTGAGAGTCCCAGGACTTCCAAGGAGCTGCTTTTGAAGTTTAAATCTTCGGGATCTAATCGACGATGAGGACCCTGCATGATGATGCCTGATCTCTTTAGGAGGACATGCTTTAACAAGAAGTTGTTTCAGATTCAATTCCACACTATTCTGGGCTCCCGTACTTTCGTCTTCGCCGACCGGCCAAAAGATAAATTCTACCCGCCTACATGAATGTTCTTTCAACAAGGCATCGCAGCTGGATCGCTTGAGATCAGAATGTGTTTCAGCGGCACGGTTTGGGACGGCTTTCCGCCGGTGCAAACATGTTTCGCTGGCATGTGTCATGGGAATGTTCGCTGGCATGCATCAGCTATCCCAGACCCCAAGCCCGGGCATTGGAGCTTTTTGTCCAACTGCTTTACAGAACCGAACACTCCTTCATACCCTCAACGTTCCCTGACAGCCTCCCGGTGTTTTGCCAAGACTCCTAAGTCCTAAGGTTCCCTGCCACTTCCCCACTTAAGGACCCCAAAAATGGTGTTGAGGAGATGGCTGCCAGGGCGGAAGCCGTAACCAAGGCGATCGTCACTGCGAAGTTGGCCTGGGGATCTGCTGAGATTTTGGGCTTCGGGTTCAAGGATTGAAGGTTGAGCATTTTTGGTCTTTGCTTGGGCCTTGGAACCTGCTCAACTTTGGACTGTCGAGATTGAGGCCTGAGGTTTAAGTAGTGGCAGAAATGAGGATTTCAAGCCCTAGGGATGGGCCAGTCTGAATCACTTCTAAGCCAACTTCCAAACCCATCCGCACCGCGGAAACCTCGCCGCCAGGCCCTTGCGCCTTAACTCTTAGTCCCTGAAGCCCTTAAGCAGCCAACCCCAAAACCCTAAACCCATTGACCCCAATAGTTCATCTCCAGATGGCCATGAGATTGCGGAGGGATCGCAAGAGCCAGGGTGTGCGACGGAAGTGGGAGAGGTAAGTGGCCAGTCCTGGGCGTCAAGGTGCCAAGAACACTGTCTAAGGATCAGGGCATCCATGTAGGTGTCGAAGCTCCATGTTTGCTAAGAATGATCAGTAAGCTTGCTGGGAAAGAAGGGTCCGTTTCTGCTTGCCCCCTTAATGAGGATTCTACCGCTTGAGGGTTTTGCCGGGGACCCTCTTTTGAGAAACACCCCTATGGATCCTTACTTATAGTCGCCCCTATTTAATCAATGATAATAGTTTCCATGTTCTTGTCCATTCCTTCATTCCCACCCTAACCCTAAACCCTATAGTAGTTTCCATGCTCTTTTTCATTCCTTCATTCCTAGCTAACCAAAAGCCAGACTATCAGGCCTACCCTCTGCAGCACAGCATCCAAAGGTGTACAGGAAGAGGAGCATCTCGAACATTGCCGCTGCCAAAGTCATCTTGTCCCTTGCTTGGGGTGCAGATTGATGTTGGGGGCAGGGGTTGCCAGACATCAAGGGTAAGTGAGTCTTGGAGGTGAACCTGTGGCTCATCAACATGTGAGCTCACAATGGCATGTGAGAATTCCATAGCAGCTAACCCTTTTTGAGGGCGATGAAGGACTTCAAAGCCAGCCAAGAGTGGCAACCAAAACCTCAAACCTGAAAGCGCAAGATTCTCCCAGAAGTTGCGCAGCATGGGCAGCACTCCGTCGATGATGAAGATGAGAGAGATCAGGCCGGCAAAGATATCCTGAACTACAAAACCATTGTCGTCATGCGTGCCTAGACAACTACTCCTTTCGAAGACATTACCAACATTTTGGACTTCCGCGGCTAGGGTGTCGTAAGGCAACGGTGCTGCGAAATTGGTTTCCATGGATCATCAAATGCAAGCCAATATCGGTCTACCACGAAAAGAACTTTGCATGCAGCATGCAGCATCCACAGCATCCGGGTTTAGAAAGCACGTGAGTGACATCTTCATGACACCTCTATGAGCCCCGCTCAAGAAGCTTTCGGCGACATCCGCAACAAGTACCGCTCTTGCTATCCATAAGCTTGTGCCTCCGTAGGCAAGTGCAGTCTGAAAACCTATCCAGAATAAGTTGCTATTCGGATCCTAAAAACAGGCATTGGGTTTGAGCACATCCAAAGGCTTCTCAAAGCATGTTGCTGGTAAGTACTCACTAATTCTACACTCAGTCCACCTAAAATGTAGGCTCCATGTCTGAGGGCACCTCTACCCGTTGTCGATGTGTAACCAACTGCTCATGAGATCTGAGTAGTTCGCATCAAGGCCAAAGGCCTTTCAGGGATCACGAGCGCGGAGCACGGTTAAAGTAAAGTCTGCGAGAAAATTCTGTGGCCTCTGGAACAGTTCTTGAGATTCCTACGCCACCAACTCCCAGCCCCTTGCCTCACTGAACATGGTCACGTGCTTCATCAGGGCGCCTAATTTCCGAAGCACAAGCAAGGCCAGCTAGGTGTTGTTCGGCGATTTATGGAGCCCGCTGCATGCTGCAGGGCACAGGCGGTGCAGGAGGTGTCGGGTTTGGGTCCTAGGCTTTCCATGTCGATTGAGGGAGGGGCCACCCAGAAGAGTCTCAGCAATTTAGCACCAAAACATTAGCTATTGAGCATCAAAACATGTGGCGAGGTCCGATGTCAACTTCTTTGTATGTTTCTTCTCAGGATCCGAAAGCCAAGAAGGGAACGCTCTGAGCTCAAATCTGCTTCAGATTCCACCCTGGATGCCTACATGCCTGTACTCAAAGTCCGTCAGGCGCAACTCCTGAACGGAACCTCACGACATCGCCCAAACCTTCAACCTCCGTATGCTAGCTGTTAAGCAACAATGTAGTCATCCCCTTCCTTTTCTGATGGTCCCCTTGGTTACCCGAAACCCGGAGCCTAAACACCCTGCCTAGCACTGCCTGCATGCCCAGGCACAGAGGTCAAAGACGGCAACCAAGATGGTGAACAAAGAGCACCACATGCACACCCAGAAGTAGTACGGCATGAACTCCAGGTCCATCTCAGGTCATGAAGGGGTAGCTTAACATCATCCTAGAAATATGTCCAAAACAATGGTTTTCCATCCAGGTCCTTTCTGAAAACTTTACTACGGGATCAGCGAGGTATCTCAAGGATGCCTCTTACCTCCTCCAACTAACATCCGTGGGTGCCAAGAATTCGCCCGCTATGGCTTGGACACACAGGTAGAAGTCAAGTCACGTCCGCAATATATACACTGACCTTCATAAGAGTACGTACAGACCCCATGGGGGAAATTGGCCTAAGCCTCCACGTAACTAAGCGGGTTCCAGTTTTGGAAGACAGCTCCCTAACCGTGGAGGTCTGGCATATTCAGAAACAACAACGGCAGCGTAAGAAATAAACGTGGGAATGCTTTGAGGAGCATGCCCAGGTCATCTTCATCTCAAACTTTTAGGATACGCGATGAATACGCCGCAACACCACTAACCCACAGGCCAAGCGGCAGCCACAGCGAGATCGTAGCAAACCAGGGTGTAAGCCAAGAACCTTACCAATTCGTTTAAAAGTTTGGGACTGGATGTCTAGGAGAGGCGTGTAATCTGAACGAGGGCCTGACAGTGTACGGCCTTCAAAACAGAACAAGGCGTTCAAACCAGGATCGTTCTGTCTGACAAAGGAAGCACATTGGGTCGCTGCTCAATCTTTTACATTTTGCAGTTAGCAATGACGAGTATCATGAACATGAACATGGACATGGCTGCTATGATGATTAATGCTCTTGGTGCTCTGAGCGTGCACATGGGTTTGAAAACAAAGTATTTTCTGCTAGTGCTTCTTCGTGCTTCTTCAGCTGCTGCTGGTCCTTTTCTCGATTACTGCCAAAGAAAGTGTGCGGGCCAAAATGCGCTCAGCAGAAAGCCTACACTACACTCGCGCATCACGGTCTCCCAAGCCACAAGCCATTCTTCATCCTTGACCCTCAATGAAAACGGCACCGCTCCGGAAACGAGGCACGGCCCTGTCGCACCGAGGATTGACAGTGGCTGTCCAGCGAACCTTGGTTCTAGGCTCCCTCCTTTCTATGCGCTTAGAGTTTGGGAGGTGGGTCTTCAAGTAGAGCGTCCAGAAGCTTCTCAAACAGCAGGCTTTCCAAAGACAGTTGTTTCCATGCGTACGCTTGAAGCGTGCTTAGGATTAGGCATGAAGGTGCTTCAGAAAAGTTGGCCCTTGGACTTTACGATTAGGGCGAGAAGACCTGTTAGAAAAATTTAACTTGTAACGGCACAGCACCTGATAGAGGTCCCGTATTCAGCTTTCTGTTTAATGATTTTGGGTTGGGGCGCCAGTCGAAGCACGCGCGCCGGCCTAAACCGAAAGACCGCCGAGCGGCGTGGAGAAGAGCATGCCGCTCAACGAAGTCGACATGATCATTTCCAACACCTCATCGTTGTGATAATTCTAGAGGTGCTAGCTGTTGTAGTAGCACAAACATTAGTACTTGCTGCAGGCGATGGCCACCGAAGGAATAAATGCATGAATAGGGTGTCCCCCATTTCAGTTCTCAATATTTTGGAGTCGGGGTGGCAGCTACAGTAGCGCTTCCTGCCAAGATCAATGTGTAAACAAGTCTAGCTTCGGTTTGGGGTTTGGTGGAAACACAAAATGGCAGAGCATCATCAAGCACACGGCGCATCGTATTTGGGACCTGGCTTGGCTGCATGCGAACCGTCGACTTTGCTCGTGCTTCCTTTTGCAGATGCGGTTTTGCTAGCGGCCATAGGACATCCTGAGCCTGCAACAAACCACAGCAGAAGCACAAACAAGTCCAAGCTGTAGGGTGACGGCTGCACATGTTCACCCCCGTGCCACCCCACACCACAGAACCAAATAACCCAAGCCCTGGAGCGTAGTAGAGTCTAAACTTTAGGAAAGTCAAGCACCCCCAAAAGACCTCCCAATCATCTTGAAGAATACTTGCCCTACGGATGAGACATGGCTTACCGGTTCCTTTTGGAAGCTTTAGTCTAAGAGCCCATGTCCTGATTTCTCCAAGATCTCTTCAGCCCCTGAATCCTTGAAACCAAGCCGAGACCACGTCTCAAATCTCATTTCAAAACAACATGACACCCGAAACAAGCTTAAACCCTAAACAAACTCCAAAACCTCGTTCTGAAGATGTCGTCCAGGAACCCCAAACTGGCCATTCGTGCCGGCAAGGAAGCGACTTCCAAACCTGAGTCTTAGGATGCTTGGGGTTTTGAGTTGGGAGCCTTGGGGGGTTCTGGAGTGTAAGGTTGAGGCGTGGGGCTGAGTTGCTTACGGGTTTGGGCGGGCTGAAGGTTTGGAGGCTTTAAGGCTAGGGTTAAACGATGTGGAAGTCTGAGATTTAGGATTGTAAGGTTTAGTGTGTGCATTTCAATGTTTGGAGTGGGGGTAGGATATGGGTTGTCGTTTCTTTGCAAGCATTACTGTTTCCTTGACTTGATGCAGAAAACGGATGGCTTGGGAGTTGTGGCGCGCTATCGGTGTGGACTAGGGCTTAGGGCTGCTTCTCAACATCGCGGAGGGATCATTGGGAAACTGTGGAAGTCCCCAATGTTGAGAAACTCCGATGTGGGCTTTTAGGTCCAGGGGCTCATGCGTAAGGTTTGGCTTGGGCTCAAGAAGCACGTTGACCCTGAAAAAATGTCTTTTTGCGATCCTTACAAATAAGCAATGGAAATTTCACCGCCAAATCCATTCTACTTACCTGCACCAGGACAACTACATGGGGGAGTACAGTACAACGTCTTAATATCCCGCACATATCCCCACCCTTGTCTCCCCCTCCCTGAAGAGGCCCTGGACCTATAGAACACAAAGCTCGTGCTCCCAGGCCCTGAGCCAAAAAAACTAAAAACCGCAAACCCCAAAACCCTAAAACCTTAAACCCCATGTCCCGTTCACAAGAACAGTCTGAGCAGCGTGATGGCAGGAGCCAGTGCAGCTACGAACAAGTACAGGATTGTGGAGATGGACTTCTGCGCATTCCTTGGCCCCGGGATTATGATTCAGAGTTTAGGATTTAGGGTTTAGACTTCCTAGAGCTTAGGATTCAGGGTAAGGGTTCCTTGGGCCTCTTCGTGGCTAAGGGCAACGATAACCTAAGTGCAGCTGTGATTGGGTTGTAATTGGTATTGATTGCCCTGATCCTTCCAAGCAGCGATGCGAGAACGCGAAATCCATACAAGTACCTAGAATGAATACACAACCCCTTGAAATCTAAGCAGGCACGACTTGCAAAACCCAAGCTAGGAACCGATGCAAACTTTGCTCTCCTTGCCTGACCACATCCAAGTCGAGTTTCCTTCTTAATCAAGTCAATACTCAGCAGCGAGGTCGAGGGCTCATGATGCGAATTTCAAGGTTTTGGGGATCGAAGTTGTGGGCTTCATTGGGAAGGGACAGCTGTGGACACCGTCACCTGGCCCCAAAGGTTTCTGCGTTTCATAACGCCAAGGTAAAACGGATCACTGTTCAGCGCAGAACTGACACATGAATTTCGAGGAGTCTTGTCCTCAGATACTGGCCCTAAACCTTCCTATCCCGGCATCCCCTAGTGTAAGCTCCCGTTTGAAGGACTGTAGTAGGGCCCGCGATAGGCCTGCACCTTATTTGGGGGACTGTAAATGCATGATCTTGGGCGACTGGGGGCCCCATGAAACTTTAGATGATATTTTCATACCCGAGAGCATGTGTGGATCACCCTGCCTAGAAGGGGCCCGCAGCCGACTAGCTCTAAAAGATCTTCTCCATTTTGAAGTCGTTGGGCGAAACAAAATATGATTTTATCTGGTCTAGGGTTTGGGCTGGAGGTTTCAGCTACTGTCAGCCGAAAGATCTTTCCCACGCCGGCTGAAAGCTGACTCCAGCATTGTGGCCCTTAGACACCGACCTCTGAAACCCTCCACCCAACGAACTCCTACATCAGAGCAGTACCATCCTAGCCTCGCATAGCCCCATACCCCTAGACTGAAATCCGAATCTTACACCCGTAGCAGCCGAAGCCCAAACACCTCCAAACCACGAAGCTACCAAGCCTTCAGGCTTTCAAGCCTGAAGTTGGCATGCAGACATTCGCCAAACTCAGGTTTTAGAATCTCAAATACCCATCAATATTCATAACCCTCAAAGATCATGCACGGGATCCTTATTACCCAGATGCTGTAAAGCTGACCCACAACTCTGAGAACTTCCTTGCACTAGTGCTCCTGTGGTTGAGCCTTGTAGGGCATCTGCATAAGCCTACAGCACGCGAACATGTCTGAGGTACGAAAGAGCCCCTATCTAGAATAAACTCTCCCTTTTGCTGTCCAAGAAGCTCGGCTCTAAACCTGGCGGTTTGAGCAGACAAAAGAAAGCTGCAGCGGCTACACAAGGATTGTTAATGTCATAGGGGCCTGATGTTGCGATTCATGCGTGTATTCAATAGGAAGGAAAAAGAGGAGGAGAAGGAACCAGTTCGGTATTTCCAGCTCTTAAAACCTGACCCCAATTAGGTCCCTTTTTCTGCGGAGGGATCCTTTTTCCAATCCCATATTGCTTTTGGGGCTGGTTAGCTTACTTCCCGCAACCCTGAAGGCCAGCTCTAAATAACTCCTACCAACCCGCCTCCGAAACCGTAGCTATCTAACTCATACATCCCACCAGGCCTGCAAAGCTTCTCTCCCGCAAATCTGGCTCCCAGGCCACGTCACACATCCAACCATCTCCGCCCCTAACCCTGACATCCCTCACTCTGTAGGTCGAAGATCTCTTCAGCTCTTAGGTCCTGCACTTCGAACACGCATTATGCGTTGGGGACGATAACTCCTTTGATCCTGAACACCTCCATCTGCCCCACGAAGGCCTTGCATTTGAGCTGATAACCGCTTGGACATGACAGATGAAGGTTCGCAACACCTCCTGCCCTTCTCCCCGAAAAGCCCCTTGGAACAGAGACTTTTGAACGACAACGCCTCAAGCCGTACACATGGGAAACTGCCCATAGCTGTGATTGTCATATCGAATGGGCAGCAGTATTCAACTCACACAACTGACCCCCAACACCAAGGAGCGCATCCACCCAGTCGCTTGCGTAAAGCGGCGCACGACGGCGAAGGTCCAACCGGAGTCCTTGGGAGCTGGAGATTCAAGATCTATCTGGAGGTGGGCGAAGTAATTACAGCCTAAGGTTATACTCGTATTAGAGATTGGGGTGCCATGTAGTCACAGGGTTTTCAAGAAGCGTTGCAAAGTAATTGTAGAATGTTGTCCTCAAGAGAGTACCTTGGCATCTCAGGTCTTTGCTGCGGAAGGTTTACCTGAAAACGCAACCTTCAGCGGCCCGGCCACTTTGGGAACAAGGGCTTCAAGCTCTAGAGAAGGATGCCTTCACACTACAGACCTTCATTTTGTTCTTTTTATCTGCCTACCCAGAACATTTGTGTTTTTTGAAGACCTGTGGATCAAGATCTCTGGCCTGCAGGTGGTTGTCTTAGTTGAAGCCAGGGTTGGGGTTTCGGGCT